GTACATGTATCTGTAAGTGATGGTAATACCACATGTACATGTATCTGTAAGTGATGGTAATACCACATGTACATGTATCTACAAGTGATGGTAATACCACATGTACACGTATCTACTTTACACGCATGATTACACACGCTATGTATACACTATAACACCACGTGCAGCAAGTCACATCTCACTACTATGTTAGCTGTGTATACACTATAACACCAGGTGCAGCAAGTCACATCTCACTACTATGTTAGCTGTGTATACACTATAACACCACGTCCAGCAAGTCACCTCTCACTACGTTAGCTGTGTATACATTATAACACCACGTCCAGCAAGTCACCTCTCACTACGTTAGCTGTGTATACACTATAACACCACGTCCAGCAAATCACCTCTCACTACGTTAGCTGTGTATACACTATAACACCACGTCCAGCAAGTCACCTCTCACTACGTTAGCTGTGTATACACCATAACACCACGTCCAGCAAATCACCTCTCACTACGTTAGCTGTGTATACACTATAACACCACGTCCAGAAAGTCACCTCTCACTACGTTAGCTGTGTATACACTATAACATTGTGTGACGCCAGTGAGTCACTGATCATTGTGTGACGCCAGTGTACTGCACACTGTGTGACGCCAGTGTCACTAAACATTGTGTGACGCCAGTGAGTCACTGATCATTGTGCGACGCCAGTGTCACTGAACATTGTGCGACGCCAGTGTCACTGTCCATTGTGTGACGCCAGTGAGTCACTGATCATTGTGCGACGCAAGTGTCACTGAGCATTGTGTGACGCCAGTGAGTCACTGATCATTGTGTGACGCCAGTGAGTCACTGATCATTGTGCGACGCAAGTGTCACTGAACATTGTGTGACGCCAGTGAGTCACTGATCATTGTGTGACGCCAGTGTCACTGAACATTGTGCGACGCCAGTGTCACTGTCCATTGTGTGACGCCAGTGAGTCACTGATCATTGTGCGACGCCAGTGTCACTGAACATTGTGTGACGCCAGTGAGTCACTGATCATTGTGTGACGCCAGTGTCACTGAACATTGTGCGACGCCAGTGTCACTGTCCATTGTGTGACGCCAGTGAGTCACTGATCATTGTGTGACGCCAGTGTCACTGAACATTGTGTGACGCCAGTGTCACTGTCCATTGCGTGATGCCAGTGAGTCACTTAACATTGTGTGATGCCAGTGAGTCACTAAACATTGTGTGACGCCAGTGAGTCACTGAACATTGTGTGACGCCAGTGAGTCTCTTAACATTGTGTGATGCCAGTGAGTCACTGTCCATTGTGCAACGTCAGTGAGTCACTTAACATTGTGTGATGCCAGTGAGTCACTGTCCATTGTGCAACGTCAGTGAGTCACTTAACATTGTGTGACGCCAGTGTCACTAAACATTGTGTGACGCCAGTGAGTCACTGAACATTGTGTGCCGTCAGTGAGTCACTGAACATTGTGTGACGTCAGTGAGTCACTGATTATTGTGTGACGTCAGTGACTCTCTGATCATTGTGTGACGCCAGCGAGTCACTGTCCATTGTGCGACGTCAGTGAGTCACTGAACATTGTGTGACGCCATGGAGTCACTTAACATTGTGTGACGCCAGAGAGTCACTGATCATTGTGTGACGTCAGTGAGTCACTGAACATTGTGTGACGCCAGCGAGTCAATGTCCATTGTGCGACGTCAGTGAGTCACTGAACATTGTGTGACGCCAGTGTCACTGAACATTGTGCGACGTCAGTGAGTCACTGAACATTGTGTGACGCCAGTGTCACTGAACATTGTGTGACGCCAATGAGTCGCTTAACTTTGTGTGACGCCAGTGAGTCACTTTACATTGTTTGACGCCAGTGTACTGCACACTGTGTGATGCCAGTGTCACTGAACATTGTGTGACGTCAGTGAGTCACTGAACATTGTGTGACGCCAGTGTCACTGAACATTGTGTGACGCCAGTGAGTCACTGTCCATTGTGCGACGTCAGTGAGTCACTTAACTTTGTGCGACGTCAGTGAGTCACTTAACATTGTGTGACGCCAGTGTCACTTAACATTGTGTGACGCCAGTGAGTCACTGAAAATTGTGTGACGCCAGTGAGTCGCTTAAGTTTGTGTGACGCCAGTGAGTCACTTTACATTGTTTGACGCCAGTAAGTCACTGATCATTGTGTGACGTCAGTGACTCTCTGATCATTGTGTGACGCCAGCGAGTCACTGTCCATTGTGCGACGTCAGTGAGTCACTGAACATTGTGTGACGCCAGTGAGTCACTTAACATAGCTGTGTATACGTGCAGCAAGTGACCTCTCACTACGTTAGCTGTGTATACTATAACACCATGTCCAGCAAGTCACCTCTCACTACGTTAGCTGCGTATACACTATAACACCATGTCCAGCAAGTCACCTCTCACTACGTTAGCTGTGTATACACTATAACACCACGTGCAGCAAGTCACCTCTCACTACGTTAGCTGTGTATACACTATAACACCACGTCCAGCAAGTCACCTCTCACTGCGTTAGCTGTGTATACACTATTACACCACGCGCAGCAAGTCACCTCTCACTACGTTAGCTGTGTATACACTATTACACCACGCGCAGCAAGTCATCTCTCACTACGTTAGCTGTGTATACACTATAACACCACGTCCAGCAAGTCACCTCTCACTACGTTAGCTGTGTATACACTATAACACCACGTCCAGCAAGTCATCTCTCACTACGTTAGCTGTGTATACACTATTACACCACGCGCAGCAAGTCATCTCTCACTACGTTAGCTGTGTATACACTATTACACCACGCGCAGCAAGTCACCTCTCACTACGTTAGCTGTGTATACACTATAACACCACGTGCAGCAAGTCACCTCTCACTACGTTAGCTGTGTATACACTATAACACCATGTCCAGCAAGTCACCTCTCACTACGTTAGCTGCGTATACACTATAACACCACGTGCAGCAAGTCACCTCTCACTACGTTAGCTGCGTATACACTATAACACCATGTCCAGCAAGTCACCTCTCACTACGTTAGCTGTGTATACACCATAACACCACGTCCAGCAAATCACCTCTCACTACGTTAGCTGTGTATACACTATAACACCACGTCCAGAAAGTCACCTCTCACTACGTTAGCTGTGTATACACTATAACATTGTGTGACGCCAGTGAGTCACTGAACATTGTGTGACGCCAGTGTCACTGAACATTGTGTGATGCCAGTGAGTCACTGATCATTGCGTGACGCCAGTAAGTCACTGTCCATTGTGTGACGCCAGTGTCACTGAACACATTGTGTGACGCCAGTGTCACTGAACATTGTGTGACGCCAGTGAGTCACTGTCCATTGTGCGACGTCAGTGAGTCACTTAACTTTGTGCGACGTCAGTGAGTCACTTAACATTGTGTGACGCCAGTGTCACTTAACATTGTGTGACGCCAGTGAGTCACTGAAAATTGTGTGACGCCAGTGAGTCGCTTAAGTTTGTGTGACGCCAGTGAGTCACTTTACATTGTTTGACGCCAGTAAGTCACTGATCATTGTGTGACGTCAGTGACTCTCTGATCATTGTGTGACGCCAGCGAGTCACTGTCCATTGTGCGACGTCAGTGAGTCACTGAACATTGTGTGACGCCAGTGAGTCACTTAACATAGCTGTGTATACGTGCAGCAAGTGACCTCTCACTACGTTAGCTGTGTATACTATAACACCATGTCCAGCAAGTCACCTCTCACTACGTTAGCTGCGTATACACTATAACACCATGTCCAGCAAGTCACCTCTCACTACGTTAGCTGTGTATACACTATAACACCACGTGCAGCAAGTCACCTCTCACTACGTTAGCTGTGTATACACTATAACACCACGTCCAGCAAGTCACCTCTCACTACGTTAGCTGTGTATACACTATTACACCACGCGCAGCAAGTCATCTCTCACTACGTTAGCTGTGTATACACTATTACACCACGCGCAGCAAGTCACCTCTCACTACGTTAGCTGTGTATACACTATTACACCACGCGCAGCAAGTCATCTCTCACTACGTTAGCTGTGTATACACTATAACACCACGTCCAGCAAGTCACCTCTCACTACGTTAGCTGTGTATACACTATAACACCACGTCCAGCAAGTCACCTCTCACTACGTTAGCTGTGTATACACTATAACACCACGTCCAGCAAGTCATCTCTCACTACGTTAGCTGTGTATACACTATTACACCACGCGCAGCAAGTCATCTCTCACTACGTTAGCTGTGTATACACTATTACACCACGCGCAGCAAGTCACCTCTCACTACGTTAGCTGTGTATACACTATAACACCACGTGCAGCAAGTCACCTCTCACTACGTTAGCTGTGTATACACTATAACACCATGTCCAGCAAGTCACCTCTCACTACGTTAGCTGCGTATACACTATAACACCACGTGCAGCAAGTCACCTCTCACTACGTTAGCTGCGTATACACTATAACACCATGTCCAGCAAGTCACCTCTCACTACGTTAGCTGTGTATACATTATAACACCACGTCCAGCAAGTCACCTCTCACTACGTTAGCTGTGTATACACTATAACACCACGTCCAGCAAGTCACCTCTCACTACGTTAGCTGTGTATACACTATTACACCACGCGCAGCAAGTCACCTCTCACTACGTTAGCTGTGTATACACTATAACACCACGTCCAGCAAGTCACCTCTCACTACGTTAGCTGTGTATACACTATTACACCACGCGCAGCAAGTCACCTCTCACTACGTTAGATGTGTATACACTATAACACCACGCGCAGCAAGTCACCTCTCAGTACGTTAGCTGTGTATACACTATAACACCACGTCCAGCAAGTCACATCTCACTACTGTGTTAGCTGTATATACACTATAACACCACGGGCAGCAAGTCACCTCTCCGTGACCACATATCACGTGACACAGGTTGTTTCAAAGAAAGCATTAATGTTCTTTATTATACTTTTATTGAGGTTTACAGCGTAATTCCAAGAAAGTAGCACATGCCAGATAGCTGATAGGGGTGGACTGTAGTCCCAGGGCTCTGTAAAGACAAACATAGGAACAATAATACATTATCATTTGTGTGTTGCCTCCACCGACGCCTCTCTGAACACACACACACACACACACACACACACACACACACACACACACACACACACACACACACACACACACACACACACACACACACACACACACACACCATGAATACGGTTTATACAGCTATTACGTGACTTACACACACATGAATACGGTATATATAGCTATTACGGTTTTAACACATTCTTTATGCTTGTCGTAGGAGGCGACTAACGGGGTCTGGTGGACAGATTTGCTGAGTTGACTGGCGCATGTCATCTTATCCATTTTGCGTAGATAGATGCTCATGACGTCAATCACTGCATTGTCTGGTCCAGACTCGATAATTTACAGACCGCCGTCATGTAGCTGGAATATTGCTGAGTGTGGCGTTAAACAACAAATCAACCAACCAAGTATAGGGTGAGATGGAGGTATTACTGGATGTTGTAGACTGTCTCCCTATGTCACAACACACTGTAGGGTGAGATGGAGGTATTACTGAATGTTGTAACAAACAATTAACACATTCATGCAGGCGGTCTATACACGTCACGTTACTTACACTAGCATGTATACTTAATGTACGCGTAAAACGTTACTTACACGCATGAACACACACGAAAAGCTGTCTCGCTTCTACACGATACAGTCAAGTCTCGTTAATCCGACACTCGTTAATCCGACAATCGGCTTTATCCGACACTAATGATGGGAACCGATTAAATCAGTGCTATTTAGACCCGTTAATCCGACAGTCTCGCACTCCGACTCCGACACACCTAATTTGCAACGAATTACTGAAATCACTCATTAATCAGTCTCGTTAATCCGACACAGTGATCAGCGTACTCCGTGGTCATCTGCCCGCGAGTACACAGCTCATGTTTTGATGCGAGACGAGTTGGCTGATGGCTGCATATCACAACGGCTGCAGAGATAAACTTGCTTAACAATAAACAATTAATGCTTTTAATAAAGACAACATGATTAATCACATGTATGTATGTATACTCACAGCACAAGCGGAAGGTGGATCGAACAGTCGCAAAGATGTGTGGTATTTGATAAATGTTCATAGGAAATATTAGAATAAATACAAGTGCACCATCTTGGAATAGCAGTGGAGACTGATTGGTCTGCGAGGTGTCCAGGTGACCCAGGTTGACATCAGACAGTCGCATCAGACAGTCGCATTAAGCTGTCGCGTCAGAGAGTCGCATCAGACAGTCGCATCAGATAGTCGCATCAGGCAGTCCAGTCAAACTCCAGACACCTGTCTTGACACTTCTGGCCGACATTTATCTGTTGTTGCTATGAATTCTTCACTTGGGGACGCTCCACAAAACGTCCACTCCGTCAATGCGCCGACGCTGAAAACAATTGTATCCAACTCGACGCCATATTCATCTGAATCGGTCACAGTTATAGACAGTAAATGCCTCCCCACTGAGTAGCCTCCCTTTCCTACATAGCCAGAATGGCGGAATACGTTCCAGAGAAAGCCGTTTCCTGATTGATCACTTGTATTAACTGTACCAATGACGTCAGAGTCAATGGCAATTGAGATGACGTCACTCCCACCATCATTTGAGTACACGAGATCGTGAATAATCACGTCATCGGGATTTTGCAGACATATTTGGAAGGAGATAGATTCCCCCGCAAACAGCCAGACAGATACCCCATTTGTGGCAGCTCGAGATCGTAGTCGAAGTCGACACTCGGGGACGTTGTTGGAGGCAGCAACCTGCTCTAGTGGTATCGACACGGCGGCCGTGTGCTCCGCCAATAGGGTAATGAAGAGTGTAGAGAGGAACATTGTCAACGACATCCTTGCTGCCCGTGCTACGTGGTCGACTGATTGCGCAACGCGGCTGACAGTTACTCTCTCCCGCCCGTCTTCTGACATTTGGGCTTGTCATTACACGGTAATTATAAGTAAACTGCCATGTTGGGTCTCTTTGTTTAGGAGACTAGTGGAAAGTTGAGAAGGCAATACGAAAGCAAGAAAAAACAACACTGGAGCAGGGAAAGGTTTGGGTGGGATAGGCCTCAACACACTATAGGGTGAGATGGAGGTGTTACTGAATGTTGTAAACCGTCTCCCTATGTCACAACACACTGTAGGGTGAGATTGGGGTATTACTGGAGATTGTAGACCGTCTCCCTATGTCACAACACACTGTAGGGTGAGATGGAGGTGTTACTGGATGTTGTAGACTGTCTCCCTATGTCCCAACACACTATAGGATGAGATGGAGGTGTTACTGGATGTTGTAGACCGTCTCCCTATGTCACAACACACTATAGGGTGAGATGGAGGTGTTTCTGGATGTTGTAGATCGTCTCCCTATGTCACAACACACTATAGGGTGAGATGGAGGTGTTACTGGATGTTGTAAACCGTCTCCCTATGTCACAACACACTATAGGGTGAGATGGAGGTGTTACTGAATGTTGTAAACCGTCTCCCTATGTCACAACACACTGTAGGGTGAGATGGAGGTGTTACTGAATGTTGTAAACCGTCTCCCTATGTCACAACACACTGTAGGGTGAGATGGAGGTGTTACTGAATGTTGTAAACCGTCTCCCTATGTCACAACACACTGTAGGGTGAGATGGAGGTATTACTGAATGTTGTAAACCGTCTCCCTATGTCACAACACACTATAGGGTGAGATGGAGGTGTTACTGAATGTTGTAAACCGTCTCCCTATGTCACAACACACTGTAGGGTGAGATGGAGGTGTTACTGAATGTTGTAAACCGTCTCCCTATGTCACAACACACTATAGGGTGAGATGGAGGTGTTACTGAATGTTGTAAACCGTCTCCCTATGTCACAACACACTGTAGGGTGAGATGGAGGTGTTACTGAATGTTGTAAACCGTCTCCCTATGTCACAACACACTGTAGGGTGAGATGGAGGTGTTACTGAATGTTGTAAACCGTCTCCCTATGTCACAACACACTATAGGGTGAGATGGAGGTGTTACTGAATGTTGTAAACCGTCTCCCTATGTCACAAAACACTGTAGGGTGAGATGGAGGTATTACTGAATGTTGTAAACCGTCTCCCTATGTCACAACACACTATAGGGTGAGATGGAGGTGTTACTGGAGATTGTATACCGTCTCCCTATGTCACAACACACTGTAGGGTGAGATGGAGGTGTTACTGGATGTTGTAGACTGTCTCCCTATGTCACAACACACTATGGGGTGAGATGGGGGTGTTACTGGATGTTGTAGACTGTCTCCCTATGTCACAACACACTATAGGGTGAGATGGGGGTGTTACTGGATGTTGTAGACTGTCTCCCTATGTCACAACACACTATGGGGTGAGATGGGGGTGTTACTGGATGTTGTAGACTGTCTCCCTATGTCACAACACACTATGGGGTGAGATGGGGGTGTTACTGGATGTTGTAGACTGTCTCCCTATGTCACAACACACTATAGGGTGAGATGGAGGTGTTACTGGAGATTGTAGACCGTCTCCCTATGTCACAACACACTATAGGGTGAGATGGAGGTGTTACTGTTTCCTGTACGAAGCAACCCACTGATACATATATATACATACTGATACATTATGCCTGTACTCTGTGACCCTAAAGGTCAAGGTGACCTGGCGGTTCTGGTTTTATCGCTATGTTGTGATGGAGTCACGTTGAGCTTCACACTGTCCTGTTTGACTTTTGACATATCGTTGCAAACGGCCTTTCCGATAAGCCCACTTCAAACGGCAAAGAGGTGTCAAATGTTACATTTACAGTAAAAAAAGTGACTAATGACGAGATGATGTGATATTTGTCACACGGGTGTAAATGGCTTTTGGCGGTTGCCTCTGTCATGTGTGTTGTACTTTATCTTGTGTGTTGGGCTGTCTTTATGTATATCGCGTTGCTATGAGCATTGTGTATTGTGTCGCTTGAGTTGGATTGTGTGTGTTTTGTCGTGGCGTGTTGCGGTATTTCATGTGTGTTGCATTGTGTGACGTCTGTTTTGTAGTACACTGGGTTGTGTGCTGTGAGTTGTGTGTTGTGTCGTATCTGTTGTGAATTGTATCGTATCTGTTGTGAATTGTATCAAATGAGTTGTTTGTGTCGTGCTGTGTCATCTGAGACGTGTTGTGTCATGTGTGTTGTGTCATGTGTGTTGTGCCATGTGTGTTGTGTCATGTGTGTTGTGTCATGTGTGTTGTGTCATGTGTGTTGTGTCATGTGTGTTGTGTCACGTGTGTTGTGGTACACACAGTTTGTAGTCGCTTGTGTTTGGAGTGTTTTGTTGTGCTGTGTCATGTGTTGGTTATTGTTGGTTATTGTTTCGTTCACGGCATTGTTTCATGTTTATCGTATTGTGGTGTGGTGTCTCGTTTGCGAAGTCTTTCATTGTGCTTTGTCATGTGTATTGTGTTGTGCTTTTGCGTGCTGTCTTGTGCTGTACTCTATGTGTTTTGTCAGTGTCGTATGATGTGTGTGTTATGTTGTGTGTCACGTGTTATGCAAATATCCAGTAAACAAGAAGAACTAGCATCAACGGAAAAAAACAGGAATGGCTGATATACACTTACATATATATGGTATATATATATATATATATATATATATATATATATATATATATATATATATATATATGTATATGTACACCATATATGACAAATTTACACAAGAGGCATAACAGATAGATTACAAATGTACCCTAGATATATAACAGATATATTACAGACTTACTCTGGATGTATAACAGTTAGATTACAGATATACTCTGAATGTATGACAGATAGATTATAGACTTACTCTAGATGTATAACAGGTTTGTGACGGATGTGCAACTTTCATTTGATACACTTGTGAAATATATACCCATTTTTCTTATGCATCTGTTATGTAACTGATATAACATACAGAAAGATAGACAGACAGAAAGACAGACAGACAGATACCAAGCCTAGAGAAACACAAACAGATTGATGATTTCAGCTGAATACACCGACACACACATGCACACCGCGACACAATGGCACTAACAATTACCGAGAAAAATAGGGAAGCAGTGAGGCATAACTTAAAAAGGTACTCAAGTTAAGTAAATGTGGTAGATCCAGACACAAATATCACCAGATCTGATTGTTAATGGTACGAAGACTGACTGGTACGAATGATTCAATGGGCTCTGTTTTCTTTTTCGACATGCGCAGTCGACGACCATGAGTGTAATTGCTCATACTCCTAAAACATGATTTGCAAACTGTCAAATAAAATATTGTTAGCCCTTTTAACAAGTTGATGTTTTGTATGGGAAAGACAACTAATTGTTAGCATTATTTACATTTTAGTGAATTTTATTTTTGAATAAAACAGACAGAACACCCATACCACCAGTGGAAACGAAAGGTTAGACTACATTATATAAAGATTTGATAAAACAAGGACATAAAAGTTGGATCAATAGTATGCTATCTGAAGCAGCGAAGAAAAAAGTCTTTGAGGGGCGCTTTGTAAATACATCCTGTATTGACATTCCACGAAAGTTTAGAGCAAATAATGATGCCTGGATATTTCTACTCATTAATAATTTCAAGTTCTTCATTATTATGCGTGGGTCAAATTTGGACTCTTTTCCTCGGAAGTCGACTATCATATCCTGTTTTGATTCATCCTATTCATGCACATTTTGAAATTTCTCTTCTGTGGTTGACTTCAGAATCTAATAGGAGACCAACAAGTTCAGCTTTATGTTAAAACAGTGATCGGTGTTGCAAATAAAGTTATCTGTGTATGAAGTCAATAATATAGGGCATATAAGACAACCTTGTGGATCCCTCGTTGACACGTGACCAAGACACGAGCGGGTTCCGTGCACGTGCAATAGTTATTGAGGTCGGTTTACAAAGAAATCAATCAACCAGACATACGATATCTTGACTCACTTTATATTCCAGATATACAACTTGACTCACTTTATATTCCAGATATACAAATTGACTCACTTAATATTCCAGATATACAGCTTGGCTCACTTTATAGTTCAGGTATACAATTTGACTCACTTTGTATATCGATATACGTGTCTGATGTACATGGCTGATGTACGTGTCTGATAAACATGGCTGATATACGTGTCTGATATACATGGCCAATATACGTGTCTGATATACATGGCCGATATCCGTGTCTGATATACATGGCTGATATACGTGTCTGATATACATGGCTGATGTACGTGTCTGATATACATGGCGTATATCCGTGTCTGATATACATGGCTGATATACGCGTCTGATATACATGGCCGATGTACGCGTCTGATATACATAGCCGATGTACGTGTCTGATATACATGGCCGATATACGTGTCTGATATACATGGCCTATGTACGTGTCTGATATACATGGCTGATATACGTGTCTGATATACATGGCCGACATACGTGTCTGATATACATGGCCGATATACTTGTCTGATATATATGGCCGAAATACGTGTCTGATATAAACTGACTGCCAAAAGAAACTTTACCACAGTTTAAAATCACTCTAGTTTAAAAACCACAAAATATAGATGCATGAAGTGAGATGCATTGAAAAGACAAGACTCGTCCAGGACTTCTTGAATACGAACAACGCCAACGTTCTTCCGTGGCCAACGCTCTCGCCTGACTTGAACCCAAATGAACACTTGTGAGATCATCTGAAGACGTCAACACCCACCAGCAAACCAGCAACAGTTTGCCGACGCTATAAAAATTGAATGGAATCGGATTCCCGATTACGTCATCAGGCGGCTGACAACATCAATGAGGCGGCGAGTCTGGGCCTGCATTGGTGCTCACGGCGGTCATACTCGTTACTTAGCGTACCAGGTATCCGTTAAAGACCACGAACTTATCAAGTACCTGGTTGACTGATCCTTCCTGTGAACTGTGATCTGCCTATCCCCATGTTCATGTAAACGTCATGTACACGTCACATATTTTGAGTTTCGCACTGAAATTGTGACCCTATCGCATGTGACCCTATTAGCGAATATACACCATCATTGAATAACATTCTCTTGTTTGTTTTCATTTTATTGACCATCAAACATGGGTGTATAGTTTCTTTTGCCCTTTAGTTTATTTGACGAAGTGCAAAACAATAAGTGTTTCTACATCTACAATCGTGTGGGGCGAGCGGTCTTAACAATTGAATTTTAACTATACCGTGTATTACGTATTGTGTTAACAAGGAAATACATATACAAAACAAACTCGCATGGTATATTTGTATAAAGAGCATATTTAATATTTTTTCTAGCAAAAGTAATTGCATTTTAATTTGTTACAAAAACAACACCTTGATTATCTGATATTTGAAAGACAAATATCTGATAACAAGTGATTAAATGTTATCTGTTGAACAACTGCATTCTTTAAACTCAGGTGATTGAAATCATGGATGTATTCAAATTGAGCAATTTATTAAAGTTTTGACGGTGAAACTTAAGCACAAATTTTTGAATGGTATTTACGATAATGGCGATTTCAAAAATGAAATAAGTAGCATTTTTTTAACATGGCATGTCAAAAATTCTCCTTTTATAATATTGTCCCACAGTAAACGTTAAATGAATCCAAATTTCTGGTCAATATAAAATAGATTTTTTCACCACAATACCCTTTGTTTTGTTTGTTTCCAGCGAAAATGTTGGTGTTTTCACTATTAACTTGACGTTTGACATAAACATAGACAAAAACAAACAGTATTGTGAAACTGACCCAGTATACATCACGTAACATCAGACTTGAACACGTATCTCAAATGCTGAACGCCTGCTGTTCGATCAAAGGTATCGTCATTGTCATTTAGAATAACGTCCCTTTCATTCGTCCTTGACTTTGCACACGATGTGTTTACACAAAGTTCTACGCGCTTGACAGAGGATCATTTGAAGGGAAATAGTGAAGCAATTTTTTGCAGAACATTTCAAATATAATAGCTCTTGTGTGGTTTTAGTACACTTATTGTTTATAATATTTGTTGGGTTTGAAAAATGCCTTTGCATGGCACACGAATGCTATTTGTCTTGACATCTTTTAACAAAACGCCAACTTTAAGGACAATTGTAGGATTGTACGGAATGTCACTCAAACAGATGCGTATTAAACAATGTGACCTGACAACTCACTCAGGAATTCCGTGTCCCCTCCCCGTGTTGATGTTGTGTGATCAGCGACAGGGAAATGCCCGTGACGTAATTGGGAAGCAACCCGCTTTTTCAATCTCTAACACAAACGAGTATTCTGTCAGAGTTGTGATAGGTATCGTAACTTTAAACTATCTGAAATATGTCGCAGGGCCCCGTTCCACAAAGCGATCGCAGCGCTAAGACGATCGTAACAACCCTACTTTAAAAGAGACCCATGGCAGTCTTAGCCCTACGATCGCTTTGTGGAACGGGACTCTGCGACATATTTAAGATAGTTTCGAAAATGTATCTTATCTTAAACGTAAGATATCTTATCCTTGAACGTGAGTTATTTTGACGCTCTGACAGACAACAGCTGATCACGTCCATCCAGCTGTCCCATTTGGGTTGGGAACATGGGGATCAGCTGCTTCGAGGCGATGTCTACTTGCCTTGTCAGTACCTTCAACTCCAATTGTCTGACGCAGGTGAACAGCGATTTGATTGGCTGTTTGGGTTCGACCCTTAAATCTTGGTTCGTGATTAATCAATCCTGGACTGTGTTGTTGAACAAGGGCGCGCTGTGCGGTGCCGATCATTCAAATGGCCTGAGCATAATTGTTTTGTTCCATAAAATCGCATAAAATACCTACTCCCCACGTCCACGGAGATATTGCATGGTCCACGTGCAATGTGTCGGGTTTGTTGGAGCGATAATTTTTGGTTCTGAAACCGTTCTATCTCTCGCAATCATTTTTTGTCAAATCCGATCCTTCTTTTGACAACCAATCCAGACATTTATACTTCTTGTTCCCATACTTTATGTGGAGAGTATATAAAACGCAAAGCGAAACAAGAAGGACAATATTGCAAGAAGATGGATAACATCCCACCACACTCAACGTCAATAGTTTGATTTTATATGTAGTACATAGTTTGATAAAAAAATATATATAGTTTGATAATTAATTGTACATAATTTGACCATATGTCAATCAAATAGTCCGCTGATTTCAATTACAAGTTAGTATGGTTTTCTGTCTTTGTTGTGTTTAACGTGACTAATCCAGTGTCTACCGTGACTAATCCAGTGTCTATCGTGACTAATCCATTGTGGTGACGAGCGTGATTTCCTTGCCGGTGAAAGATCTCCAGGGATCAAACATGGACACAAACTCTGTGTTGTCTGACGAGACGAAGGCACTGGCGAGTTCCTCCTGGTTCAAACACGGGAGGACCAAGGAACTCAGGCGGGTCACGGCCCCCAGGGGAGTTCCAAAGAAGGTGATGCTGGTGGTGACTGTTCCCATGGCAACAGCGAGTCTGCTAGTCCCGAACTCCGTGTTAAGGGTCATATCAAAGTCACTACCGTTTCCGTTGATGCCAACCGAAGCTAGTTTTAGTCCGGGGCTCCCACTGGCCACGTGCGCCTGTGTGGGGAAGTAGACGGCTTGGCGAGAGGCGTCGCCCTCGGGGAACAGCAGGATGCCACCGTCATCCCTCAACAACATCCGGGACGTCATGTTGCCGTTGACGTCTGCCGCTGACAGCTGGATAGCAGAACACGGGACTGCGTCCTTACGTCCCATGGTCACCCACATGTCGTTGCTTGGACCCAGGAAGGCCTGGATGTAGGCGGAGTTGTCCGACAACAGCACACGAGGGTTGTCCGTCGTGAGGCCAAGGCTGGGGTGCACTGTGAGGGTGGTGGTGATGATCTGGGTGAAGGAGAGAGTCATCAGGGAGCCCAGGCTGGACACGATGTCGTAGTTAGCTTGTCCCCCCGAGCAGAAGGGCGTGTCCGCGCGCTGGATAGTGATGTCCTCACCCTCGGACCCGCTGAACACCACGGACGTGTTAACTTTACTGCTGCCCGATGACGTCACACTGTCAGGAGATGGTGAAGCTGAACTTCCGGGTTGGTCGCCTCCTGAATTGTCAGAAGACGAAGAATATTGTCCAGTTGATGATCTCGATGTAGGGTCTGTGACTGAACCGCCATTGTTGTCCGTGACGTAGCCACCATTGTTGTCTGTGACGTAGCCACCATTGTTGTCCGTGACGTAGCCACCATTGTTGTTTGTGACGTAGCCACCATTTTTGTCTGTGACGTACCCGCCATTGTTGTCTGTGACGTAGCCACCATTTTTGTCTGTGACGTGCCGGCCATTGTTGTCTGTGACGTACCCACCATTGTTGTCTGTGACGTAGCCACCATTGGTGTCCGTGACGTAGCCACCATTCTTGTCTGTGACAGTACCACCACTGCTGTCTGTGACTGAACCACCATCACTGTCTGTGACGGTAGCGCCATTGTTGTCTGTGACGGCAGCGCCATTGTTTTCTGTGACTGAACCACCACTGCTTTCTGTGACTGAACCACCACTGCTGTCTGTGACTGAACCACCACTGCTGTCTGTGACTGAACCACTACTGCTGTCTGTGACTGAACCACCACTGCTGTCTGTGACTGAACTATCAGTGGTGCCAGAGACTCCCAGGTTTCTCTGCCCAGGCGTTGATGCAGGCATCACTGAAAAATAAGGAGTTGAAGAGTACAGTTATAGCCAGGTGTGCATGACTGTTATCCCCATATGTGTATGACTGTTATGCCCTGGTGTGTATGACTGTTATGCCCAGATGTGTATGACTGTTATGCCCTGGTGTGTATGACTGTTATGCCCAGATGTGCATGACTGTTATCCCCATATGTGTATGACTGTTATGCCCAGATGTGTATGACTGTTATGCCCAGATGTGTATGACTGTTATGCCCAGATGTGTATGACTGTTATGCCCAGATGTGTATGACTGTTATCCCCATATGTGTATGACTGTTATCCCCATATGTGTATGACTGTTAGACGCAGGTGGGTATGACAGTTATAGCCAGGTGTGTATGACTGTTATGCCCAGATGTGTATGACTGTTATGCCCAGATGTGTATGACTGTTAGACGCAGGTGGGTATGACTATTACACCCAGGTGTGTATGACTGTTATGCCCAGATGTGTATGACTGTTATGCCCAGATGTGTATGACTGTTATGCCCAGATGTGTATGACTGTTATCCCCATATGTGTATGACTGTTATCCCCATATGTGTATGACTGTTAGACGCAGGTGGGTATGACAGTTATAGCCAGGTGTGTATGACTGTTATGCCCAGATGTGTATGACTGTTATGCCCAGATGTGTATGACTGTTAGACGCAGGTGGGTATGACTATTACACCCAGGTGTGTATGACTGTTATGCCCAGGTGTGTATGACTGTTATGCCCAGGTGTATATGACTGTTATGCCCAGGTGTGTATGACTTAAACCACAGGTGTATATGACTGTTATGCCCGGGTGTATATGACTGTTATGCCCTGGTGTGTATGACTGTTAAACCACAGGTGTATATGACTGTTATGCCCAGGTTGTATGACTGTTAAACCACAGGTGTATATCACTGTTATTCCCATATGTGTATGACTGTTATGCCCAGATGTGTATGACTGTTAGACGCAGGTGGGTATGACAGTTATAGCCAGGTGTGTATGACTGTTATGCCCAGATGTGTATGACTGTTATGCTCAGATGTGTATGACTGTTAGACGCAGGTGGGTATGACAGTTATAGCCAGGTGTGTATGACTGTTATGCCCAGATGTGTATGACTGTTATGCCCAGATGTGTATGACTGTTATGCCCAGATGTGTATGACTGTTATGCCCTGGTGTGTATGACTGTTATGCCCAGGTGTGTATGACTGCTAAACCACAGGTGTATACGACTGTTATGCCCAGGTGTGTATGACTGATAAACCACAGGTGTATACGACTGTTATGCCCAGGTGTGTATGACTGATAAACCACAGGTGTATATGTCTGTTATGCCCAGATGCGTATGGCTGTTAGACCCTGGTGTTTATGACTGTTAAACCACAGATGTATATGGCTGCTAGACCTAGGCCAATGTGATGCTGTTAGAATTGCTGGCGTGTATGACTGTGAGATTCTGATGTATGAACATACATCACATACAGCAAGTGTCTTGTGAGGAGATTAAATGTTTTGAGTACATGTTGTACTCTGAGTGAAGAGTAATTAAGTGACTTGTTTACTTTTAGGACTGTAGACCTTGTGAAGCCACTTGTTAACTAGTGTAGGGATAGTGTCACGTCATTAGTTTTAACTCATATGTTTACTAGTGCAGGGGTAGTGTTAAGTCACGTGTTTACTAGTGCAGGGCTAGTGGTATCCCGAACTTACTTTTGATGGGGGCGTTGTCATCTACCACACAGGGGTAGTCTAGCGGGGCCGGCGTGGGGTAGTCGCCTTCACACTTCATGTCGTCAATGCCGCTGTTGCCGTTTTCCATCACCCTCAACACCAGGGCGTCCAGCTCCACGCCCCACTTGTCTGCCTGGGTGACGGACACAGTAAGAGTGTGGGAACCCTCCTGCAGGGACACCTGCTTCCCTTGGGGCCCTGTGCCCGAGAATATGTTCCACAGCTCACCCTCGAAGGACGTGTCGTGGGTCTCCACGTCAGCCAGAGGCTCGTCGTCAATGGCAATGAGCACGGAGTCCTGCCACCCATCATTGGAGTAGATGAAGTCGTCCACGCTCACGAGCGCAGGGTTGTCAAGGCAGAAGTTTAAGGTGAGACTTTCGCCTTGGAACATCCAAACGTTTTGCTGATTTGTGGCGTTAGATCGCGGCATGAGGCGGCAGCCAGGGTAGCCATTCTGTAATGCGACCTCGTCCAGTTGCACGGTCACTATTGCCTGGCCCAGTGGGAGGCATGCTGCAGCAACAACGACGCTGAACAACGTTATGACGTCCATGTTGGCGGTGTGATGGCGATGTCATTGTCATCTATATATACTCTCTCACACAGTCCCGCCTAGGCTTAGCCTTGTTTGTTTCAGAACAAAATAACGTATTACTGAGGTATTACATGGGCGCCATGGTGATTCATTGAGGGGCTGTCTCAAACGGGATGGGGTATTTATAGTGAGTATCGATGATGATGATGATGAACAGATGAAGGTAAGCAACAACCACGTGTCACTGCCGCAGGGTGTATATCTCCATAGCAACAGCTAGCTAATTCCATAGTGAGTGAGTTGGTGAGTGAGTGAGTTGGGTTTTACGCCGCCTTTAACAGTATTCCAGTTATATCACGGCGTTTCAGCTTCCTTTTTGGAGGAAAGCCAGAAGTGATGCAGGTCTTAGACATTTACCACTTCGGTGAAACCCACGAGCACGGGTATGGTGCTGACAAACCTAGAAACATAATCGGGGCGAACCGGGATTCGAACCCACAACCATAGGTTTATTGCGAAGCCAAGGTACGCAACTCTGCACAGCGAATCGCGGCGCCATAGACAATTGGGCCACCCGTGCCCTCAATTCCATAGTAGCATAATACAATTATTGATCTACACGTGTACACTGAAATAGCTAAATATGTCACTGAACAGCTAAATATGTCATGTTAAGGAATCAATAGATAAACGATGACGTGGCAATGATGATGAAACAATTTGGGACGGCCCCTGTGTGTGCACACCCAGTTGTAACGGCGAGGCGAGACTTGCCTGTGTCGCCTGACCCTAGACGTGATGTTTACCCGGAGATTTCTGATTGGTGTGTGAACGATGGATGGTTTGGCGTTAAGCTTGATAGTGTGTGCCCAGGCCATGGTGATCCTGCACATGTAGCTGCAACCCTCCCCTCGCACGGACATGCTACACCATCACAGGAACTTGCTAGTTCTATGTTTTAAAATAATTTTTACTTTTAACCTTATTCTGTAAGTGCGGTTTACGCTCGTATGTATAGGCGAACCCACGCGTGTAGTTATGGAGCCGGCAGGCCGACTTGCAGAGTTGTGTGAGACACCTCCTGACAAACATGTACAGAGTTGTCGAACCTGATTTTATATACACTTATACTGAAACGTATTAGGGAGAACACTAACGTAGAATGATAAATAGAAGGATACGCCGGTCTGATACTGAGTCGGATGACGTTTAAAGTTCGTTGTTCTTTACGTTTGCAGACCTGATACCAAGGAATTTATTCTTTACATTAACCTTGTGACAGAACAAGTACACTTAACAGCTACAGTTAACAAGTTCAGTTAACCAGTGCAGTTAACAGCTACAGTTCACAGATACAGTTAACAGCTATATTTAACAAGTATAGTTAACAAGTACAGGTATCAAGTACAGTTACGACTACATGTGCAGGTAACAGGTATAGTTAACAAATATAATTACCAAGTACAGTTAACAGGTTCAGTTACCAGGTACAGTTAACAGGTATAGTTCACAAGTACAGCTAACAAATGCAGTGAATAAGTACAGTTAGCAGGTAACAGCTAGTTAACAGGTACATATATCATGTTAGCATGTTCAGTCAACAACTACAGTGAAAAGGTACAGTTAACAGGTACAGTTATCAAGTACAGTTAACAGGTACAGTTATCAAGTACAGTTAACAGGTACAGTTAACAGGTAAAGTTATCAAGTACAGTTAAAAGGTACAGTTAACAGGTACAGTTATCAAGTACAGTTAACAGGTACAGTTATCAAGTACAGTTAACAGGTACAGTTAACAGGTAAAGTTATCAAGTACAGTTAAAAGGTACAGTTAACAGGTACAGTTATCAAGTACAGTTAACAGGTACAGTTATCAAGTACAGTTAAAAGGTACAGTTAACAGGTACAGTTATCACGTACAGTTAACAGGTACAGTTATCAAGTACAGTTAACAGGTACAGTTAACAGGTAAAGTTATCAAGTACAGTTAAAAGGTACAGTTAACAGGTACAGTTATCAAGTACAGTTAACAGGTACAGTTATCAAGTACAGTTAACAGGTACAGTTAACAGGTAAAGTTATCAAGTACAGTTAAAAGGTACAGTTAACAGGTACAGTTATCAAGTACAGTTAACAGGTACAGTTATCAAGTACAGTTAACAGGTACAGTTAACAGGTAAAGTTATCAAGTACAGTTAAAAGGTACAGTTAACAGGTACAGTTATCAAGTACAGTTAACAGGTACAGTTATCAAGTACAGTTAACATGATGATGTAAGTGCGACAGAGGGTATCCCCAGAGAGGAAGGTAAGACAGAGGGTATCCCCAGAGAGGAAGGTAAGACAGAGGGTATCCCCAGAGAGGAAGGTAAGACAGAGGGTATCCCCAGAGAGGAAGGTAAGACAGAGGGTATCCCCAGAGAGGAAGGTAAGACAGAGGGTATCCCCAGAGAGGAAGGTAAGACAGAGGATATCCCCTGAGATGTAAGTGCGACAGAGGGTATCCCCAGAGAGGAAGGTAAGACAGAGGGTATCCCAAGAGAGGAAGGTAAGACAGAGTATATCCCCTGAGATGTAAGTGCGACAGAGGGTATCCCCAGAGAGGAAGGTAAGACAGAGGGTATCCCCAGAGAGGAAGGTAAGACAGAGGGTATCCCCAGAGAGGAAGGTAAGACAGAGGGTATCCCCAGAGAGGAAGGTAAGACAGAAGGTATCCCCAGAGAGGAAGGTAAGACAGAGGATATCCCCTGAGATGTAAGTGCGACAGAGGGTATCCCCAGAGAGGAAGGTAAGATAGAGGGTATCCCCAGAGAGGAAGGTAAGACAGAGGATATCCCCTGAGATGTAAGTGCGACAGAGGGTATCCCCAGAGAGGAAGGTAAGACAGAGGATATCCCCTGAGATGTAAGTGCGACAGAGGGTATCCCCTGAGATATAAGTGCGACAGATGGTATCCCCAGAGAGGAAGGTAAGACAGAGGGTATCCCCAGAGAGGAAGGTAAGACAGAGGGTATCCCCAGAGAGGAAGGTAAGACAGAGGGTATCCCCAGAGAGGAAGGTAAGACAGAGGGTTTCCCCAGAGAGGAAGGTAAGACAGAGGGTATCCCCAGAGAGGAAGGTAAGACAGAGGGTTTCCCCAGAGAGGAAGGTAAGACAGAGGGTATCCCAAGAGAGGAAGGTAAGACAGAGGGTTTCCCCAGAGAGGAAGGTAAGACAGAGGGTATCCCCAGAGAGGAAGGTAAGACAGAGGGTATCCCCTGAGTGGAAGGTAAGACAGAGGGTATCCCCAGAGAAGAGGTAAGACAGAGGGTTTCCCCAGAGAGGAAGGTAAGACAGAGGGTATCCCCAGAGTGGAAGGTAAGACAGAAGGTATCCCCAGAGAGAAAGGTAAAACAGAGGGTATCCCCAGAGAGGAAGGTAAAACAGAGGGTATCCCCAGAGAGGAAGGTAAGACAGAGGGTATCCCCAGAGAGGAAGGTAAGACAGAGGGTATCCCCCGAGATGGGAGTGAGACAGAGGGTATCCCCCGAGATGGGAGTAAGAGAGAAGGTAAAACCAGGGATGGAGGCAAGAAGGATGGTGTCCCCAGAGACGGACAGAGATGGAAGTAGGGCGGGCGGTAAGATGCAGGTAAGACAGATCGTAGCCTGAGCGAGGGAGGGGCATACATGAAGTAGTACGGAGGATATCCCCAAAGAAGGAAGTAAGACGGTATTTTCAGAAATGTACTGACTGCTCCCGAGGCGAGGACGGTAGACGAAGGGCTTCCCCAGAGATGAAAAATAACAGAAGTAAGACAGAGGGTATCCCCCGAGATGGGAGTAAGACAGAGGGTATCCCCCGAGATGGGAGTGAGACAGAGGGTATCCCCCGAGATGGGAGTAAGAGAGAAGGTAAAACCAGGGATGGAGGCAAGAAGGATGGTATCCCCAGAGACGGACAGAGATGGAAGTAGGGCGGGCGGTAAGATGCAGGTAAGACAGATCGTAGCCTGAGCGAGGGAGGGGCTTGAAGTAGTACGGAGGATATCCCCAAAGAAGGAAGTAAGACGGTATTTTCAGAAATGTACTGACTGCTCCCGAGGCGTGGACGGAAGACGAAGGGCTTCCCCAGAGATGAAAAATAACAGAAGTAAGACAGAGGGTATCCCCTGTGGAGGAATTAAGACAGAGGGTATTCCATGGGATGGGAGTAAGACACAGGATATCCCCTGAGATGGGAGTAAGACAGAGGGTATCCCCTGAGAGGGGAGTGAGGCAGAGGGTATCCCCTGAGATGGTTATAAGACAGAGGGTATCCCCTGAGATGGGAGTAAGACACAGGTTATCCCCTGAGATGGTTATAAGACAGAGGGTATCCCCTGAGATGGGAGTGAGGCAGAGGGTATCCCCTGAGATGGAAGTGCGACAGAGGGTATCCCCAGAGAGGAAGGTAAGACAGAGGGTATCCCCAGAGAGGAAGGTAAGACAGAGGGTATCCCCAGAGAGGAAGGTAAGACAGAGGGTATCCCCTGAGTGGAAGGTAAGACAGAGGGTATCCCCAGAGTGGAAGGTAAGACAGACGGTTTCCCCAGAGAGGAAGGTAAGACAGAGGGTATCCCCAGAGTGGAAGTTAAGACAGACGGTATCCCCAGAGAGGAAGGTAAAACAGAGGGTATCCCCAGAGAGGAAGGTAAAACAGAGGGTATCCCCAGAGAGGAAGGTAAGACAGAGGGTATCCCCAGAGAGGAAGGTAAGACAGAGGGTATCCCCCGAGATGGGAGTGAGACAGAGGGTATCCCCCGAGATGGGAGTAAGACAGAGGGTATCCCCCGAGATTGGAGTGAGACAGAGGGTATCCCCCGAGATGGGAGTAAGAGAGAAGGTAAAACCAGGGATGGAGGCAAGAAGGATGGTATCCCCAGAGACGGACAGAGATGGAAGTAGGGCGGGCGGTAAGATGCAGGTAAGACAGATCGTAGCCTGAGCGAGGGAGGGGCATGAAGTAGTACGGAGGATATCCCCAAAGAAGGAAGTAAGACGGTATTTTCAGAAA